CGGCCTGCCAGGTCACGTCCGCCCATTGTAGCCTTAGCTGAGCTTAGCGACTCACTTACTTCGGCAATGGCGGGGATAAGTACATACCAATTAGTCGCGTGAACTGGAGCATGAAGCTACTACAGGAAGAATATCAACACTAATAGTAAGAATCTGTTTTGCCGTTTAGTCGGGTGGCGAAAGCTCCCCTCCAGACGGAGAAATAGCAAAACACGGGCTATCAGCCGAAAGTTCTTCACCGATGAAAGTGGCGTCACGAGAGGGAGAAACTATGCTATTTCCCTCTGTGGACGACGTGCGAAGGAAAGAAGATCAGCGCCACGGTTTAAGTATGAGCGTTCCTGTGGCTGCTTCCTCTGGCTATGTCAGGGGACAGAGCCCGCGCCCCCATCCGAAGATCTGGTGGAACCTCTCTCGCGGCGACGAGCGCCGCCCACCCAGCTGCTCCGAGGGCCAATGGCGACGAGGAACCCGACTGGCACGAGCGCGGCGAGCAGATGCCAGTGCCGATCGCCGCCCAACCTAACGTCGCCATCGACCTCTCGGAGGACGAGCAGGACCTGGAGTCTATATCATCGGAGGAGCATTCCTCCCTCAAGTCGACGCCCGGGCCGATCGCCTACGGGGGCGCTGACCTGCCGCGAGGAGGGCGCGGGGGCCTGCGGCGCCAGTTCCCTTGCCCCCTTGGCCGACGATCCATCCTTCGCGCCCGCGCCCCTCGCCGACTGCGACGAGGCCGCGCCCCCATCCGACGGCCCCCATTGAGCGGGATCTCGCGGAAATCATGGGTGTCAGCCGGCGGACAGTCATCCAGGGCCGCTCCCGAGCACAGGTGCGAGACGGTCAGTCTGTCAACGACGTTCCTGCTCATCGAGCGGAAGAGGTCTGACGGCATGCTAGAGAAGAGCGTCTGGGCACGCCCTGGGGGGGGGGGGGGGCGCGGGCAGCCGCGCGCCTGGGCGCCCCCCGCCCCTTGTCTAGCCCGATCCTCTCTGGGCGCTCGAAATGAGCGCGGAAAGAATGGGTGCGATGCCCAATAGCAGTTCCTGTTCATTTTGAACAGGACTCGCTGTCCGCGCCGCCGCGGCCTGTGTTAATTTGAGACAGAAGGCCGCCTGCCCAACAGCGGCCGCTGTTGGTTCGGGACAACATGTGTTCGGTGCCCATTTCGGGTGTCCAAATCCTCGGCCTTGGACCCCAATGCCCGAGACCCCTGGCCCGCGCGCCCGCCCCCCCCCACAAGAGGCGGTGGGGGAAAGGGGCAGACCGAGAGCGCCGCGAACCCGATCGGGAGCGTCCGACCTATCGGTTCTCGGGCCAGTCGAGCGCATTCAGCGCGCGCGTCAACGCGAAATGCGCGCATTTCGTGGAGCGGCGCGCGGCGCCCCCCGAGACGCGGCGCCTGGCGCGCTAGGCCGACGCAAGAAGCCGGCGCGAGTAGCCGGAGCAACGGGGGCCCTACAGACTGGGGAAGACCAAACAACTGTGGCAAAGGTGGATCACATTCCAAAAAGCACATCTTGAGACGCCCGCGACTAGCAGCAACCCTGTTGTTCCTCCAAGGACTATGCATCAGCAGGGGGAACATGGGGGGAAGGATTATGCCCTCCTCGAACCGCGCGACTGGGACTGCGCTCTCACGAAGGACCGCGACCTCGACGAGCCCGGCATGGGCTGGTCTAAGCGGCGCGCCGAGTCTGGGCGGGGCGCCGAGGTCCAGACGCCCGCTGCTTTGAAAGACGAAATGGAGCGGGAACTGACGGAGCACTGGCCCCCATTGGAATTCCCGGCGCCCCCGGTGCCGGCCGCGCGGTATTCTGGGGCTCTGGCCCCCTCTGACTGCGTCGGCGAGGATGCGTGCCCTGGAGCGCAGCCAGTCAAATTTGAAAAAGAGGCCCAACTCCGCTCGGCCCGAGGGCCGCCCCGCGACAGCGAGAATGACTGACAACGTCAGAGGAATGGGCAAGGTGGCTGGGGTCGACGGTAGAGCGGCTAAGAAGCGCAGCAGTCGCGCGCCAGACGATCAGCAGGAATCTCGGCGTCGCCGAGCAGCAACCCCAACGCAGCGGGACCCGCGCCCAAGATCCGGCGCCGCCTCATCAAGCCCCGCCATGGCACCAGGGCCACCGGCCGAGAGAGACTCACGGCAGGACACGGGCCTCTATCCGCCATGCCGACGCTGCACGGCAGCGCGCGGACCGCGCCCCGCAATGGCGCGAGAACGCCGACATTCCACGGCCGATCTCGGAACCCCCTTCCGCCATGACGCGAGAACGCCGACGTTTGGCGGTCGTCTTGGAGCCGGGGCTCAGGCATTTGGCGAGCTACAGCAACTGGGGCCGCGGCGACCAGAGTTGGGGCTGAGTGGAGGAGGATGGACACTTGCGGCAATGCTGCGAGCGCCCCCATCGACGCCTCCGCGCAATGCGCCGAGCGTCTCGCAGCGCTGCGAGCCAGGTGGCGGGCGAGCTGCCTGCTGGGCGCGGCGCGACGGGCCGTCATATCACAGCAATTCGAGGCGTTGACAAATCGCCAACGCCCACCCTGGCGAGTGGGGCTCCCCGGGGAGGCCGTGGGGGGAGTCGATTTAGTCATCGCCCCTGCGTTGCCGCAACTTCGCCGTCGCGACGCTGCGCGACGTCGATGCCTCGATGCCCGCCGAAGCTGCATCTTCTTCGGCTGCGCTTGCAAAAGAGTACCCCGCCCCGCCGCGCGCGCGCGCCCTCCGGGCGCGCGCCCTCTCGGCGCCCTCGGCCGGCCGGGTCTCGTCCGTCTATTGTAGCTCTGGCTGAGCTTAACGGCTCCACTTACTCAGGCGATGGCGGGAAGGAGTACATCGCCAATGAATCGCATGAACCAGGGCGCGAAACTATGGCAGGGAGAAGATCATCAAGAAGAAAGAGTACGCTTTGCCGTTTAATCGGGTTGCGAAAGCTCCCTTCCTGACGGAGTGGCAAAACACTCGGGGACTTTCTCCGCTCCGGCTGCGTCGCAGTCGATTGCGTTCGGTCGGTCTGGTTCGTTCGGTCACCGTGCTGGTGCCGCGTCGATGCGCCTTTCTGGGCTGCTCGCGGCCCGCCGGTTTCGGTCGGTTTTGGTTATGCGGTCGATTCGGTGGGTTATCGATGCTTCCGATTCCTCCGAAATGCCTCGGCCCGCTTTGAGTCGATTTCGAGGGGTTCCGATTCCGATTCGCTTCGGCTTCGGATTCCGATCTGGACTCTTGGATTCGTTTTTTTCAACGGAGGCCTGACTGGCCTGCCAATTCCTGCCGATTCGACGTCTCCCGATTTGGCTGCCGATGTCCGCCGATCCGAGTCCTGTCGATCGCCGATCCGAAATATCGATTCGAAGTGTTTCGAGGTGGGAGTTTAAGCATGACCACCGCCCTGGGGAGCGGTCTTTGGGGGAAAGGTCGACCATAGCGTTGCGTTGGAAATGTGGTTGGTCGTTGGTTTTCGTTTTGTTTTCGCGCTGGGCTCACCATTGGTCAATCACGTGCTCGGATTTAAGCCAACACGCGGCTCTGGAGGCAATCGATCGGACCGTCTTCGTTCCTCAACGCCCCAATAAGGAAACATGACGAAAGCGCAAGACGCTGTTTTGGGGTCGACCCATGCTTCGGGGGGTTCGGCAAGCGGTGGATCCGGAAATCTGCGGGCCCCCCCAATGCAAAAATACATCCATATCCACAAGTATCCACCGCCCGGTGGGGTCCCAAGACGTCGGTTCCACGGGCGGTGGATACACATAAATCACCGCCTCACAGAAGTGCGACATCTTCTGTTTTTGGCCACCCTTTTAGGTCTCCCGATCGAGAGTTGCAACCGGCGGCAACAATAATAATAATGTTTGCAGCGTCCTTGCGTGAACACTGATATTTTCGTGGGCGAATGCATATCCGTATCTGCTCGGCCGCGACCCCGCGGATACGGGGTGTTTTTAGGGGGGTGCCCGGCGCGGACCGTATCCGTATGACCGCATTTCTGTAGGATCGCGCCCCATAATCCAGACCGTGAAGGCGCGGGTGCGGATATGTGCGCCGCCCGTGGGGCTGAGGGGCGCGGGGGCACGGGCCACGCGCGAGAGCTGCATTGCTTCACCAGGGGGGCGCAGGACCCACCGACGGCCTGGCCGCGATCGGTGCCTGGCGCGATCCGCCCGTATTCGCAGTTTCGGGGCCCTCCCTCGCGTACTCTGGATGGGGTATTTGTCAAGGCTTGGGCGATTTACTTTCCGACGGATCCTGCCCATCCCCCCCCCCTGTTTCCTCCTCTTCTTCTCCTCCTCTTCCTCCTCCTTCTCCTCATCATTATCATCCTCTTCTCCTGCTCCTCCTCCTCCTCCTCACCTTCCTCCTCTTATGCCTCCCCCCCACCCGATCCGACAGCACGCGCCCACTCACCCAACCGCGGATCCAAGGGGGGACGGGCGATTATTGTCCCATCCATCAGTGGGAGTTGCAGTCGGCAGCTTTCCTGGCGCACGCGCGCATCATTCCAGTGATTGGCCAGGCCGTCATCCGTCTTCAGATGCACGCTTCTCTTCGAAGGCTTGGTGCCAGGTGCGTCGGAGTCGACCTGGCAAACCGGGGGGGGAATGGAGGGCTCCCCGTGACCAGCCATTGACATCGCCGGATATTCAAGCTGCGTTGCTCGCGGTGTCTGGTGATGACCTGGGACCCGCCCGCGCTCCCACATAATATGATGTTGTCGCTATCCGTTGATTTTGTGTGAGCCTCCCCCCATAAACACACACAGGCACTGTTTATCTTCGACGCGTGGCAGAGGGACTCCGCTCGCGCGTGGCCCCATAATGCGCACAAGCACAACACACACTCTTGTCTTCAGGGTAGTGCCCTCGGCCCAACAATCATCGCATTGCTGGCCTCCAGCAAGTTCAACGTGCGCCTGGCAGCCTAGCACGTGCCCGGAGATATGCATGTATGTCCTGTGTCTCCCCTCCGCCCTCCATCTGCTTTCGCTTTCCCCTGCATCGAGGGCTGTGCGTGCGTAAGGTGTTTCTTGGTTTCTGGCGAGTGATACACAAACAGCATAATCACAAATCATTCGGGGCTCCGACGGGACTTCTCAGATCGGCGCTGGACCCCTTCCCTGGCGTGCGGAGCGCGCCAGGGGGCGCCTGCGCAGATCCGAGAAATCCGCGCGGAGCTCCGAACGCTTGTGTGGTGTGCAGTTTCTTCTTCCTGTACTATTTTAGGCCTCCTAGATGAGGTCGGAGTAGATTGGGTCGGAGGATGGCGCCGCATCGCCGATGCATCGGCAATGCATCGGCGATGCCTCGGCGATGCGGCTCGACGCCCACGTCGCCGATGCATCGCCGACGTCGGCAGTGCATGGCCGATGCATCGGAGATGCGGCGCGGTCCTCCGACCCCATCGAGGAGGCCTCTGGATATGCTCCGCACGATGGGCCGTGCCTGTGCGTCTGCGCGTGCTGCGGAGCGCCCTGCGCGCCCACGCTGCGGGGCGACGCGCCTCGCCCCTGTTTGGGGCGGCGCACGGGAAACAAAAAAGCAGGTGCCGGGCGCCCTGTGGGGCCCTTGCCGTTGCTGGCCGCCAGGAGGGAGGCGGGTCCTGAGGGAAGCGGGTCTTGAGGAGTCTCTCCAGGTCGGTCTTCACGGGCCAGGAGGAGGAGGAGGAGGAGGAGGAGGAGGAGCAGGAGCAGGAGCAGGACGAGCGGGAGGAGCAGGAGGAGGAGGAGCAGGAGGAGGAGGAGGAGGAGCAGGAGGAGGAGGAGGAGGAGCAGGAAACGACTCAGGATGAAGAGCTGGTCCCCGAAGAAGTGCCCTGAGGTCCAGGACCCGTGTCCCTCGCGCCCCCTGGTTGCTGCTGCTACCTCCCCTCCGCTTCCCCCGCTCTCGGGCTGAGGGGGAGATAGGCTCAGGGGTGGACGCATCGACCCCCAATCGCCCATCCATCGCCGATGGGTGCCCGATAGGCCTGCCCCGCCCGGGAGCGTGCGGAGTCGCTATTGGGGCCCTTTCGCCGATCTATCCGCGATGAAGCACTGATTCCAGGTCGATGCTCCCTCCGGAGCCGGTCCCTCTGGCACCCCCGTTCAGGATATAGGGTAGGGGACAGGGTGGGTTAGGCACGAAGTCTGTTGCGTGCAGCTGGTTTCGGTCCCGCCGCCGGGCGCCGTCCTCGATGCATGGGCGCTTCCCGGCGCAAGGAAGCGCCGGGAGGTTTGGGGGGCGCGTAGTGCGATGATTGGGGGGGGGGCAGCGAGGGATGCGGAAAGGAGCCCTTTCGGGCCCCAAAGGCCCAAAGGGGGCCTTTAAGTCCCGAAAAGGGCACTTTTCTTTCACCCCCCATGTGTCGCCCCCCATAAGTCGCGCCCAAGAAGTCAGCTGCGTGAGCTGGTTCGCTAGCCCCCTCGCACACTGACCCCCCTTCCGTCCGACCGGCGTGGGAGGAAAAGATACCGATGCCGCTGCTCGTCCTTGAGATCCCTCATCGCCACCACTGGATTCGCCCCGAAATGTCAGAACGCACCCTGGGAGGGTCCAGAGAGTAGCGGATAGTTCGGCTACACGTGGTAGTGACCCTTCGCCTGTGTGACCTTCTGGTGCGGGCCCAGAGGGGTCCCTTCAGGCGCGGTCCTGCGCGCTTGGATTTGACCCACCCGCGGCCCCCTAAAGCCGTGCACCAAAGGTCACTCTTACCTAGGGCCACTCTTGCGTGTAGTCGGTCAGCTCAAAGAAGAAGGAACTGCACAGACAGAAATGTTCGACGCTCTAGGCGGATGTCTTGGAGGCCATTTCTTTATTACGTGGGGCATGACGGGCGTCATGGCCCCCGCTCCCCCCCCCTATGACGTAACGCTCCCCCCCCCCCAGTGCGCTCCGGGCACTGCCGCCGTGCGCATTGGGATCCGCGTAGGTGTCCGCGTAGGAATCCGCATAGGTGTCTGGTCCGCAGGCGTCGTCGTCAACGTCGTCGTCGTTCGTCGTCGTCGCTCGTGGTTCGTCGCTCGTCGCTCATCGTCGTCGTGCGCGCGGACGCGGCTGGAGCCTGTTTTTAAGTCCAGGCCGATGACGGCAATCATTTGGGGGGGGGTCGATGATGTCACGTTTCGCGCCGGCGGCGTTTGGGAATGGTTAGGAATGACGGAGGACGGGTAGCACGAACATGTAGGTGGCGATATGCACCACAACGCCTGTGTACATCACAGTGCCCGCGTGCACCACAGCGCCTGTGTACACCACGCCGCCGATGTACACCACAGCAGCCGCGTGCAACACAGCGTCAGTTTGTGCCACCGTGCCTGCGGGCACAGCAGCTCCTGTGTACACCGCAGCGCCTCCGTACACCACATCAGCCGTGCGCAGCACAGCACCAGTGTACACCACAGTGTCTGCGTGCATTGCAGTGCCTGTGTACGCGTGCATTGCAGTGCCTGTGTACGCCACGGCGCCTGTGTGCACCACATCAGCCGTGTACAACACACCACCATTGTTGTGTATAGAATTTCAGAAGGAATCCTTGTGACAAAATGGAGCGCGAGCGGATTCCAGAGAAAACAATGGAAAACAAATCCTCATGGACAAAGGAGCGCCGCTGGAATCTACGAGTCTCCCCGAGTCCGCCCGCATCACCCTAACTCCCATTTGCGTCCAGGCGGCTCCAGCTAAACTGACCGTCCGAGAACCAACTGGACCGATTCAATCGACCATTCTGCGGTGCACGGTGAGATACGCACGTGCGTTGTAACGCCAAGCCGCACGACAGGGGGTAAGAAGGAGGAGAAGGAGGACGAGGAGGAGGAGGGGGAGGAGGTGGAGGAGGAGGGAGGAGGGAAAAACGTCGCATTCGATTATCAAAACTTTCCTGGCGTGGCGTTTAGTTGTCCGCATTAGATCCTGACGTACATGCTCCTTCTACTTGTCCTATGCACGCAGGCACTGTGGTGTACACCAGCGCTGCGTTGCACGCGGATGCTGTGGTGTAGACAGGCGCTGTGGCGTGCACAGGCGCTGCGGTGCACGCAAGCACTGTGGTGTACACAGGCGTTGTGTTGCACATGGCTGCTGCGGTGTATGTTCACCTGCGCTGTAGTGCTCCCAAGTATTGTGGTATACACGGGCGGTGCGTTGCACACGGCTGTTGCGGTGTACGCAGGCGCTGTGGTGCACGCGCGCGGCGTGGTGCACGCGAGCGTTGTGGTGTACACAGGCGCAATGGGCAGATCGCCACTTACATGCTGCTCGCGTCGTCGTCGTCGCTCGTCGCTCGTCGCTCGTCGCGTCGTGGGTGCGGGCGCGGCTGTGGTGCCAGAGCCACACGGCGGGGGGGGGCGTCACGTCATACCCCCCCCGCCCTCCCCCCCCCCCCCTCCATGACGCCCAGCATCGCCGAACATAAAGAAACGCCTTTTTGGATGTGCGCGGGGCCCCCTTTGGCGCGCTCCGCACGCCATGGAGGGATGCCTGGCACAGATCCAAGAAATCATGCAGGTTTTCTTTTTGTGTTATCACTCTTCGGGCACCTCCCGCTTGCGTTCTTCGTCCCCTCCTCGTCCTTTTCCGTCCCCCCATTCCTCTTGCGCAGCTGTGGTTGTCGACGTGAGTGGGTCCGTCCGCGGTCGCTGAGTGGTGCCTCGTCAGGGCTCAGTTGTTCACGCCGCAACCTGCCTCGTTTGTCCGTGCCCTTCCCAGACCTAGGACGTCGCACTGTTCCTTGCATCCTCAGGCCGGAAGTTTTATCCTCTTGGATTACGTTATGGCATCACCAATGGATCCAATTGGGTCCCTTTTCTGGGTGTGTAATAGTCTCGTGGGTTCTATTTTTGTGCTGCGCGGATCCAGATTCCGGTGTGTGAAAAACAAATGAGTGATGTTCTGTTGGAGTCACTCTTTGATGATATTTTTGGGCGTGCGCCACACCGCCGACCCCTTGGGGAACTGGCGGTTGTTGTGTGTTGCTCCTGAGGGCCTTTTGGGGGCTTCTTGGAGCGCTTTGGGGGCTGTTTTTTTTCGGGGGCTCTTGGGCTGACATTCTCAGTATCCGCAGTGCGCGCATGGGGAAACGGGCGAGAACCTACGTACACAGGCGGCGGGCATCTGTCAAAACACCCGGCGAATGATTATCGAAGACGCCTACGGCGAATCACCGCCGCCCCCTGCCTTTGTGGAGGCGCGTATGTGGCCGAACGTTGAGGCCAGACCTGCCAAGCCATCGGACCATGTGTTCCCCGAATCGGTTTGGAAAGCCTTCGGGGAACACGTGGGCGTCTTGATGGTCATCGTCGCCGTCTTGGAGGCCTCTTGGGCGATCTTTCGGCGATCTTTGGGGGCTCTTGGGCCGTCTCGGGCCGTCGGAAGGCCGAAAAAAGGGAAATGCCCAAATCCATCAAAAACCTTTGGAAAATCATTGATTTTGGCATCTTTTGGCCTTCCTGGAGGCCCTCTTGGGGGCCTCTTGGGCCCTTTTGGGCCAGCTTCGAGCCAACTTCGGCCATCTTGGTGGGTTCCTGGCACGTCTGACGCCGTCGGGAGCCGTTTTGGGGGCCTTTCTGGGCCAACGGGGGACCCTCTTGGGGCGCTCCAGGGCCGTCTTGGAGGCCATCTTGGGCGTCTTGGAGGCCATCTTGGGCGTGTTGGAGGCCTCTTGGGCCGTCTTGGGGCCCTCTAGGGGCCATCTTGGAGGCCACTTGGGCCATCAGGGGGCTCTCTTGGGGGCCTCTTGGGCGATCTTGGGGGCTTCTTGGGCCGTCTTGAGCCGTCGGAGAGCCGAAAAGGCGCAAATGCCAAAATCCTTCAAAAACCAATGGAAAATCAATGATTTTGGCCTCTTCGGACTCTCCTGGAGGACCTCTTGGAGGCCTCTTGGGCCGTCTGGGAGGCCTCTGGGGGGCCTCTTGGGCCGTCTTGGGCCGTCTTGGACTCTCTTGGGCCGTTTTGGAGGCCGTCTTGGACCATCTCGGGCGGACTTGGAGGCCATCTTGGGCCATCTTCGCGATTTTTTGAGGATGTCCCGAGCGAAACGGCCGTTTTTGGAGGATTTGTTCCGGTCGTTGAGCACCCTTCCGGGTGGCCAGCGGGTTCTGCCGGAGCCCACTGGGGAGTTCTTTTGGAAAAAGAACCAAAACCAAAACCTAACAGCTCGTCCAGCACGCCGTGCACCCCTGCAAGCAGGGGGCGGCGGATAGAATGGTCTTCGGCACATCCCGCCACCGTGCCTTGGTTGCAGGTCTGAGGCCGCTCGGATGGTTAATGAGGTCTCGTGGGAGGCGTCTTGGAGGCAGTTTTTGAACCTCTTGGGGGCATCCTATGTGCCTCTTGGGGGCTTTTTGCGGCCGTCTTGGGGCTCCCTGGGGGCCTCGGGGCGGATGACTCTGGGCCCCCTCTTGGGGCTGTCTAGGGCCCTCCTGGGCCGTCTTGGGGACTTCTTGGGCCGTCTGGTGGCCCTCTTGGGTCGTCCCGGAGCCCTCTTGGAGGCCTCTTGGCCCGTCTTGGGGCGCACTCGAAGGCCTCCTGGGCCGTCTGGGACGTTGTGAACGCCCAAGAGGCGAATGTGCTAAAAAAATGCGTTTCCCATAAAGGGA